ATTTGGGGACACAGGGCTGCAGCATCTGCTGGGGTTTGCCTGGCTCCCTCCTCCTGCCAAGCAGGGTTTGCCTGCAGAGCTGCCTGTGCTCTGGGAAAGGGAAAGGTCTGGTTTGATTTTTCAAACCTGTTTAGTGTGCTGTGGCCCAAACCATGCCTGGCTGAGAGGAGGGACGTGTTGGTGCAATGCCGACATGGACGAGCCCAAGGTGCTCGTGGAAAAAGGGCTGGGTAAAAACCAGGGCTGGTGGGAGGGGTTTGCTGCTGGTTTTGTGGGCATTTGGCCCTTGCTCCATCCGCAAATTGTTCATGAACTGATTGATTTCCATGAAAATATCCTATATTTCTTGATTAATGTATGTGAGACTCGGCCAAGGGTGGGGGGGTTGCTGTCTGGAGGGGTTTTGTGGCCCATCCCAGGCAGCAACTTCCCCAGGAACCCCAAGAGCTGGAATGGGGACCCATACCTCTAGTAAATCCAGGTTTTGCCCAATGTCCAGGGACAGAAACGTGGGATTTTTCTCATGTATGTACAAAACTTGTTGTTTTCATAATAGTTTGTGTATGAGCTGGGGGAAAAAAAAAAATCAATCCTGCTGTGCCAGGCAGCTGAATCTGCTCGGTATTGGGAAGGAGAAAACGTGCACCTGGTGCTTTAGAGTAAGGGATGGCTTCTGGGACAGGAAGGGCAGCTGAGGAAAGGTTCATTTATTATCCTTGTCATGGCTTTTATCAGCAAAGCTCTATTATAGGCATTTTTCTCTTTCTTCTTGCTCATTGTCTTTCCTTAGGAGTGGCCAGGCTGTTCCCCCCTGGTTGGGTAATGAGGGTGCAGGGTGCAAACCCTGCTAGTCAGAGCTGGAGGATGGGCTCTGGGGTACGTCCCAACCCTCATCCCAGAACAAACCCCATCCCCAGTTCAGCAGGAGCCAAATAAGCCTCCCGGGACCGGTCCAGGTGCCCTCTGGTCCCGATTCACTCGGTGCAAATCCACACGAGCTCCAGGGCTGTGTTTGGCAGCAGAGCTGAGCTGTTATTTTCCCTCCCTCATTAACAAATAAATCTCTCGGTGGAGGAGGTTTGTGTGATGGATATTGGCCATGATCCGAGTAGGGCAGGCGATCATGTTCAATTACTTTATTAGCAGGACGAGGCTCATCCCGGTGACGCCGGGCCCGGCAGGTCGGAGCTCCAGCAGGATCAGATGCTGCTTCCTCTGGTGGAGTGGCTGGTCCAGCCCTGTCCCCCATCCTCAGGGCTTCTGAGCAGCATCTGTCCTTGTCACAGGCCTGGACCACACGGCAGCTGCTTGAAATGAAGGAATTTCTATTTTCTTTGTCTTAAAAATACATAAATGATCTATTGGAACAGAGGATGATCAAGGGTTAAGCTTTTTATTGGATGGTTCAGTTGCTGTGTCTGTGTTTGGAGGTTTTGTGAGTTCCTGCCCCCAGTTTGATTAGCATCAAACCCCAGCACGTTTGTCATGGGGAAGGAGAACATCAACTGACATTTTTAGGCCAGGGCCAAATTCATCACTTGTCAGGCAGCTCTGCAGCAGTGTCTGTGCATTTGCAGGGGAAGATGGAAGGGATGCTCCCAGCCCAGGTCTAGCAGGGAAAAAAACCAGTCCCACACCACCTACTGTGTTCCCTGTCCCGTCTGCCACTGTCCCTTGGTCTGCTTTGTGTTCCAGCACATCTGGCCCGAGCCCAGCTGCTTTTTGGGCTGTCTGTCCTGCCTTCTGCTTGGGTTTGACTCGGCAAATGGAGCTCCAGGCTGGAATGCTGTGACCACTTCTATGTGTGTCTGTAGGGAGGGGGTTGTCCTGCATCTTACCCAGAAATTCCCCCTTCTCCCACTATAAATAGTGTGTGTGTGTGTGTGTGTATATAGATATGTAGAGACATATAGACAGATTTGCAAGTTGATATCCAATCATGCAGTGCTGGGTTAACACCTGGTCTCAATGATCTTAAAGATCTTTTCCAACCTTGATGATTCTGTGCTTCCATGATTACATATATATATATATTCATATAAATAAAATAGGCAGATTTGCAAGTTGATATGCAATCATAGAGTGCTGGGTTAACGGTTGCACTCGATGACCTTAAAGGTCTTTTCCAACCTAAAGGATTCTGTTCTTCCATGCACTGTGAGAAGGAGAAGTGTGGTTTTGCAGCTGGGGAAACTGAGGCACAAGCTACCTGGCTTGTACCTGGAGCCAGTGGGTGAAAAAATTAATGTTCCTCACATTTATTCAGTTATCCCAGTGAAGGAAAGGCCTCCCCTGGAGTTCAGCTCTGCACAGCAAACTGCACACAGGTGGGCACAGAGCATCACTTTATTTCCCAGGTACGCTGCTTTGTCCAATATTATATGAAAAATGAGATCTGAATTGGAATCTTGTGGGGGTAAAAGGTACCAGTGTGCATTGGGATTAGGGTTTTAGTTTTGTTGGTTTTGCTTCTCCCTTTATTTCCATGAGGAGTGACAGCAATAGCATCTTGGCTGCAAAGGCAGAGCTTGCTTGGAGAAAATCCAGGCTGGTTTGACACTCTGTTGCCCTGAATGACAAGAATAAAATTTAAAAGGGGAAAAAAAATAAAAAAAAAAAGGAAAAAAATGGAAGGGAAGAAATTCCAGCAGCCACTGCTCCTGCTCTGGCATTGCTAATCCAACAGCTGAAGGTTTATTTGTACTGACTAAGCTGGAGTGAGCAACTTAATTCCCTTTTAATTCTCCTCAGAAGGCTTCAAAAAGCCTAATAGCTGTTTTCCTGCATGCTGTTAACTCCGAGGCAGCCCCCGGCCTTCCCAGGCTCCGTGGATTTTGTGGTGGTGGCTGGATTTTTGTCAGCCCTTCCCAATAACGGGTGGGATTGGAGCCTGGAGCAGGACTGATGGAGGTGCTGAAGATGGAGGTGTTATTTCCTGGTGCTTTATGCATTAGTCAGGCAGTGACAGCAGGGCTGCCCTGAAGGCTCTGGCAGGGGTGGCCTGGCTCTGTGCCATGGGGTCACCCTGAAATTTGTCAGCCAGGGCTTGGCCAAATGTGTCTTTTAGAACCTCCCCTGGCCCCTGTGGCTCCAAAAGTGTCTCGGGGGGTTAATACACTGCAAATCCCACTTAGTGTTTCTGTGAGCATCTCCAGGCCTGCTGTGGATGTGGCAAAGCTGCTCAGTGCTGGTTTTCCCCAGCAGACTGAGCCCTGTACCAACACCTCCCATCCCTGCACGTGCTGCCTAAAATCTTGGGAAATATGGCAGAGCATCCCCCCTCCTCTGCCCTGAGCTGCCATAGGTTATTCCAGACCACCAAACCAGCCTCCATCCGACCCCCGTGGGTGCAAGGCAACCTTTACCTGTAAGAACACCTTCACCAAATAGACCATTGAAAAATAAATATCAAACCAAAAAAATTAAAATCAAACCAAACCCAAAGAAAAAAAATAACCCTCCAAAACCTGAAATCTCTCAATCAGTGTGGACTTTCAAGGACATTTCTGGATATAGGCCCTGCAGAGAAGAGGCTGCTCCTTTGTAGCCTTCTGAGTCCTGTAAGATATTTGGAAGGACAGAAATGGAATTGGAAATTGCACTTTCTGTGTTTGAGGGATGGGGTGTGTAGCAGCTGAGTGTCAGGACTGGGAACAGCGAGGACAGAGGGAGACCCCACATATGCACTGAGGAAGGTTGGCAGGAGAATGGGAGTTTTACCCTTCTGTAGTATTTCATACCTGTGAACCTCCAGCCCACAACCAGAGACAGTTGAGATTTTGATGCAAAGCACTTTTTTTTTTTTTTTACTAGAAAATGGTAATTTCAGGTGATATTTGCTGGGTTGGTCTTGATGGATTTTGCTGGAGGGAATTATTTCAGACTCTGCCTGAGTCCACTGGTGTTGGGAAACTGCATCTTGTCAGGAGGTTGCAGCTGATGTGTCATAATTCAATGAGCACAAAATCAAATTGCTCCGCTTGGTAACATCCTTATTCCTCATTTTCCATGAAAATGAGACATATTTGTTATGTGTCAATGCTGTAAGTGAGCCCAGCTTGCTGGAGAGGGGAACTGGTCCCATGTGGACAGTGCAGTTGGGGGGCAGCAGGAAAGCTCCTGGTCTGGATCCCTGGAGAGGGAGGATATGGATTCAGCTCAGAGGAGCCAGGTCAGGGGCTGCCCTCTGCCCTGAGAGCATCCCATTCTGGCTTGGTGCTGTGATGTGGCTCATCCCCAGTGAGGAAGCCAAAACAATCCTTCGTGCAAAGGGCAAAATCTGTTGCAACAGGAAAGCAAAGGAACTGTCAAGTCTTGGCTGCTTTTGGGAGGATGTTAAACAGTTGAGGTGGGAAGGAGTGGATGCTTTTAGGGGGATGTTAAACAGCTGGTGCATTATTGCTGGTGACAGGGTTTTGGGGACAATGCAGAGCCCAGGCTTGGGGGACAGCTGATCCCACAGCTCCCTCCGTGCCAGCCTGCAGGATGGTCCTTGGAAAAGCTGCCTCCTGTCCCTCCTTGCACACCAACAAGGTGTTTGTAGCACATCCTTCAAAGAAGCTGCCCGATTTCTTTCCTTTGCTCTTTTCACATGCTGTTTATCACCTAAAGAGGAGTAGTTCCCTGCTGGATGGAGGATGCTGCCTGCTTAGGGCCAGGAATGGGGAATTGGCCTCCTGAACCCTTGGCCACAAGGTTCAAAGGTCTCCCCCGCACCTCCCGAGGAGCCAGTGATGAAAGGGAGACCTCTGAACCACTGCCTGGCGGTGGCAGGTCACACTAAGTGTCTCCAAACCTCGCAGAAAGGGGTACAGTGGGGTACCCACATCCAAGCATCCTTCTTTTCTTTCCCAGCTCTGCTGCCGGGATCAGCCCTTCCCAAGCAAAGCCCCAGCTCCAGTCTTCACTGACATCTAGTGGCAGTGCTGACGCTCAGAGCTGGCAGGGGTTGCTGCTTGAAGCCAAAATGAGCCTTTCTTGCAGGTTCCCATCCTGGGTGGGATCCCACTTCCCCTGGGAAAAGCCGCCCCCTTGCACACACCGTGTAAGGGACCTTGGAAACAGTGTCCCTGCCACCACTTCGGCTCTGCAGGTGAGGACACTGAGGTGGGAAGGGGGGGAGTGGCTTTGACCCTTGTAGCTGCCTTATTCAGTCCTCTTATTTTAAGATTAGGGGAAAAGGATGGGGGGAGGATCCTCATCCTCCCTTGTGCTAAGGGGAAAAGGAGCAATGTGCTTGCTAACCTGAGGCACTCAGCAGGAGTCATAAATACTCCAGGGTGAAAAGGCTGTTTATGTATAAGGTCCAGGGTTAAAAGACTTGCTCCAGGGGGTTTTAAATATAACAGCAAACCTTTGCTGGCTGCAGGTTACCCGATCTGTCACCCTTCTCCACACTGCTCAGCAGCAGGGAGCACGGCTGCCCTCCTGAGCAAGGGAGGGTTTGGAACATGCTGCTGGAGGCATCAGTCATGAGGGCTTCTCACATCTTTCCCACCTTAAGGAATGGAAAGATTTGGCAGGATGGGTCAGCTTTGATCTGCTCAAATTGAGTTAGAAACTGTAAAATGGGGGAGGGTGGGAAGAAGTAGCAGGAGAGGCACCTGTGAAGAGTTGAGGATGCTGAGGCAAAGGGGCTGGAATGTGCCCAGCTCCACAGATTCCCCTCAGTGGAGGTGGGTGACACCCCACCAGGTCTTGTAACTCCACCAAGGACAATGGATGGTGTTGCTCTGCACCCACAAACCCAGTTTGTAAAACCTCAGCTGGTGCAGCCACCCAGTGCCACCCACCCTCAGAACTCCCACGGGTGGAGGGGCTGGAGCTGGCCCTTGCTGCCTGGACTAATTTATCTTCTCCGCCAAAAAAATGACAATTGATTAACTTTGTTGCCATGCAAACACAGTTTTATGGGTTTCTTATAATCTACACTATTCTGGATTTCCCTCCCAAAGTGCCACAGAGCTCAGCACAGCCTCCACACTGCTGGGAATCGCTTATACAGGAACACATTATTTGATAAGAATCTCCCTGGGTTTTTTTTCTTCCCCCTGAACATCCTTATCACTGCCCTGGTGTTGTGTGTGCAGGCAGGAAAGCGGCTCCTTCCCATTCATCTGCTGGATTGGGTCGATTCACTGCCCTCTGAGGACCATCAGAGCACAATGGTCCAGCCATCCCTTTTCTGCAGAACCAGAGAGAAAATCAGCAGCTCAAAAGCCCCATTCCCAGCTCCACAGAGGGGGGAGCAGAGCAAGGGCAGCCTGACCCAACTCCAAGGGGGAAAGTGGAGCTCCTGAAGAGCTGGACCCTTCTTCAGGCCCAGGCCCCTGATCTACACGTGGTACCTAATTTTAATCAGATTTGCTGATTTTCAATTAAATTAACTCCTGGGCAGATTTTGAAGCCAAGAGGCTCTGCTAAAAAATTTCTGCACTGAGAGGAAAAGGTTTGCCAAGGAGGCAGGAGCCAACAGCAGCTGGCAGGCGTGGATCTCCACTGCTCACCACAGCCAGAGCCCGGCACCGTACAGCCCAAGGTGTTCAAGGCTCAGAGCTAAATGCTTTTTTAATGGGGTAACATAGCCATGATATTTATTTGAGGATCATGTTTTGCATGCAAGATGGTTTTTTTTTTCACTATTACTCTTTTTTTTTTTTCCCTTACCACCAGGAAGAGGAAAATAAAAGCCTGTAATCTCTAGCTGGCAGACACTGAGGAGATAAGCTTCAGGTGCCTCCCGACGCTCACCGAGGAGTTTTGTTCTCCCACTTTATCTCCACCTCCAGGTCCCATCATCCTGGGGCTCAGCACAGTTCCTGGGGGGAGTGCAGAGCGCTGCTGTCCCATCCCTGCTCCGGACAGGGTGTCTGAGGGTGGGCTGTGATCCCAAACCATGCAGACAGCAGCGTGTTTCTCAATGATAACCCTTCTCCCAGCTGGTGCAGCTCAGCCACCACACGCAGACGCTGCTCCTGGACCACAAACCCATCCTGGCACAAGCATCCCTGGAAGGCCTTGATAATCAGGAAGAAACCAATTTTCCCCACCTCCTCAGGTATTGTAGCTTCCAGTGCTAATTATTGTGTGTTTTAATTCATCCATAACTGATATGATCTTCAAAGCTTAAATGTCTTGCTCTAACGCTTCCAGATTTTTATTCTTTTTTTCCTTTGAACTCCTGCAAAGGAGCCTCTGGGACCCTGCAGCTCTTGCTTTATGTTTACTTTTAATCAGCTTGCTTTCCTTCCCAGAAACAAAGACAAATAATGCTGCCACGGTTTCTCCTTGGAAATTTCTCCACATTGACAAGAAGAGAGGGGGAAAGCATGACTTGTTAACAGCTGAATTTCCTGATGTCTTTCCTCCTTTTTGTCTGGTTTGCTGCAAGACAAACGACTCTCTTAATTTAGCTGAGAAGTTGAAGGGCACCCATATAATTCAGGAGTGGTCCAGCCAGCTGCAGGCCTAGGGAACCACGGTGAGCAAGTGTGATGGGGTGTCACCTCCCACCTGACACTGTGGCATCACCAGGCCAGGGAATCTGGTCCTTGTGGCAGAACACCACACCAGGAGCGTGGCAAGAGTGGCACTGGTGCTGTGTGGTGAAACCTTGGTCACTGGGGCAGTGAAATAATTCTGGTAGGTGGCAGGAGGTTGGTTTGTGCTGCTCCAACATAGAGATGACAATGTGGGTTGAGGTGGTTCTTGGAGAGGGGGGAAGCATTCGTAGTGCCCATGGGTGCCATTCCTTTTTATTCCTTTATTCCTTCAAACTCCTGCAAGGGAGTGTCTCAGACCCCACAGCTCTCGCTTTATGTTTGCTTTTTATCAGCTTGCTTTCCTTCCCCAAAACAAAGACAAATAATGCTTCCATGGTTTACCCTTGGAAATTTCTCCACATTGAGAAGAAGAGAGAGGGAAAGCAGCACCTCAGGAAATGCTGAGTTTCCTGGGCATTATTCCAGAAGATGGATTTGTTGGCCAAAAGCTCAAGTCCTGCCCCTGTAGAGGACCCTGACATGAGGACTGTGCTGTGCAGATGCAGACACAAGGAGATGTTGGAGGTGGCTGTCCTGGCAGTGGTGACAGGGCTCAGAAACCACAGCACAGCCCCCGTGCCTGTATGGGATGGCCAGGACACAACCCATGCCAGGAGGTCATTTGCAGGGCCCCTTCTCTTCTCCTTCCAAAGAAGCCAAGTAGAACATTTTGGGTCATTTTTCTGCTTTTCTCATACTCGCTCCCTGCTGGAGCTGATTTATCCCTGCAGCTTGCAGAGCTACATCCAAGAGGGACATGTTTTGCCTTCGTAGTACATGAGATTGCTATAAATTATTGTCTGCTTTGTGTCAGCCAGAGCCTGACATGGCCCATAAAACCTTCTGGCCGTGTTACTGCACTTGAACCTGGCACCAGGCTGCTGCTGGTGAGCTGGCCCAGACCCAAAGGAAGGGGTTGCCAGCTTCAAGGATGTATTGTTCTCCACAGTGACACCCTCAGCCTTGTTCCTGAAGTCACACATGGACTTTATGAGTCCATGGAGCCCTCAGAAGAAAGAGCTCTGCCCTTGCTGTCACTTGTGTCTCTGGAGAGCCACTGCTTGCTCCAGGTTTACAGGGGAAGGTGCAGAGGATGGTGCCAGGCTCTTTGCAGTGGTGTCCAACAACACGACAAGGAGAAATGGCCATAAACTAAAACACAAGTTCCACCTCAACACGAGGCAGAACTTTCCATGGAGGTGGCAGAGCACTGGAACAGCTGCCCAGGGATGGTGTAGAGTCTCCCTATCTAGAGACATTCCAAAGCCACCTGGACACTTTCCTGTGTCACCTGCTTGGGGTGACCCTGCCTTGGCAGGGGGTGGGGGGTCTGGATGATCTCCAGAGGTCCCTTCCAACCCTGACTATTCTGGGATTCTGATTCTGCACCATGGCCACCCCTCCCCTGCGAACAGGTGGGCAAAGCACCTCACAGCATGTGTTAGTGAGATTTGCAGATGGAGTAATAATAATAATAATAATAGTAGTAGTGGTCATAATAACACTAATAGTAGTAGTAATATCATATTCCTTAAGCATAGAACCAGTGAGGTTAAAACTCAGCATTCTCAAGGCAAGATTGCTGCATGTTCACAATATTATCTGTAAGTGATGTGCATGGGAGGGCAGTGGGAAGCAAAGGGGGCCTCGTGAGAGCCACAAAAGCTGGACTTTTAATTTAAAACTACCTTTTCCTGTTTGAGTGTCTCTCCTGACAGTCCATCTTTTATTTCCCCTATGCAGCAGTGATCAGCAGGTAGCAAGGGAGAAAGGAAACCGATGGTCTCTGCCTGATTTCAGTGCTGTAAATTATAGATATATATGGAACAAAAGAGTGCTGCGATATTAATTTCTGTTGTTGAAAATCACAGACCCTCTACTTTAATTTACTGCTAAATAATAAATGACTTCGTGAGATACTCGGCAAAGATAAAGATGCCTCGGTAAATCAAACAGCTCATAAGCACTTATGGATCAGTCTGTCTTGTATGTGTACTTAAGTGGTTTATATTGTTCTCAGAAAGCAGAAATAAGCAGGCGTTTAACTGATGCTATCTGCCAAAATAAAGGATGAACTCGTGAATCAAATGGCTTCCTGCAAATCCTCATTTGCATTTGCAGAATAGAATGAAAAGTGGTGCTTTAGGGATCCTGAAACGTTTAGAATACAAGCTTAAAATGTGTCCCGCAGGGGGGCCGTCATGGAGAGCAGCAGGTAGGTTTATATAGGGTTTGTATAAGGTTTGTATAGGGTTTATCCACAGCTCAGCAGGAGGAGGAACGGAGCATATGGATAAGCCTGGAAGATGACAGGTCTCTCCTCATCCTGCCTCTGCAAAAACACCCCGAGAGCATCCATTCTCATGGCACTTCACGATAAATTGTGCAAAGGTGAGACAAGGATGACATTGGGAACCCAGATCTGCAGCGTGGATCTGCCACGGAGAGCCAGACCCCTGGCTGGTCCTGCCTCAGTTTCCCTCTTGGCATGCCCAAGAGGGCATACAGGTCTGTCTCCTGGCTCTACATGTGATTTTCTCTCCTCCCTGGGTCCTCTTGTGCTGGACAGCAGTAAAAAAGCCACTAATTCCATCTGCAGGGAAGTCAGGAGCTCTTGGGTGGCCGTAAGTAAGATGGGTGTTGGGCTCTGGGAGCACAGCTCCTGTTCCAGGAAGGTGACATCCTCAGCGTGCCAGGCTCCAGCTATTTGCAAAGGCAAGTTAGAGTCCGAAGGACGCAATTAGAGTCTGAAGTGAAAATAAGATATGGATGTGGCCGATTTTGACATTTATAGCACATGTTTGTTATGCAAATTGGCCAGACTCTATAGGAATGCAACAGAAGGAGATTGCAAAGGGCACCAACTCATCGGAGGCGCCGCTGCTGGAAGCGTCTCCTGCATGACTGTGGCCGTGTTAAACAGTTTGTCGGGGTGGTGGGGAGGCAGCCAGGGGCACAGGGGCTCTGTGAGTGGTGGCAGTGCCTGGCTGTGGGGATGGGGGACATTTAGGGATGTGGGTTTGACAGAGTAAGAGGGTGTCAGAGCAAGCAGACGTCAGTGTCGGTCCCCAGGGTGCAAATAGAGAGGCATTTCCTTGGGATAATTTCAGCAGCCAGAGCTCCTGGCCTCACTTTCAAGGGTACAGGGAGCTCCTGTGTGGAAAAACAAGTGCTTTGGGGTATTTCAGAGTGTGGCTACCTAAGCACAGAATACAAGGGACTGCCACAGTCCTTTAAGGGTTGACATTTGTCTCTGCACTGCCCAGCCTTCCTCCTGCTTACACATGGCTCTACTCTTAAAGATGCTTATTTACCCCCAAAGTGCAGGCACACTAAACTGGGCAGTTTAGGGAGGACTCTCCAACCCACTTTGGGATGTGTTTTTGCTCTGTGGAGAGGTCTGAGGATGCTGTTGTGCAGCACAGAGGAGCTCAGGGCTGGGCACAGTTAGTCTGTGCCTCAGAAGGCAGTCCAGCTCCATGACATAGTGCCTGCTGCTGTCTGCTGGAGAGGACAAACAACACCTGGTACAGCTGGAATGAGGGAAGCACAGTCCTACGGAACTGGGTCTGGCAGAAATTCTGCCACAGCAAGTTATTCTTCCAAAAAAAGCCCCCGGTAGGTGGGAGGCAGCAGAGTGGATGTGCTGCAATCAGCAGATGTCTGGCCACCACAGTGCTCCTCTGCAGGCCACTGGCTCTCAGATTTATCATCTTCGGAGTGGAGGACACCAGCCCAGCTGGCTCCATCTGAATCATGCACACAAACTGCCCAGCTGGCAGGCTGATAGGACAGAAACCTCCAGCTGGGGACAGTGATGAGTGCCTGAGAGAGAAAACATCTTTCCCCAGCACAGCTGGATTTGGTCGAGGATATTTCTCTACAAGCAAGTGGGTTTGAATAACAATCCATTAGATACACGAACCTCTGCAACCTTTGCTGACAGCGGGGGATTGGGGGCAGAGGAGATGCTGATGGGAGTAATTCTAGATACAACTGAGCTCTGTGGAGTAAGAAATTTTCACTTTGTTTTTTAGGTTAAGCCAGAGATCCCTGAGCTTTCAGCTCAGACACTCCACGGCACCGCGGTGGGAGGGATGTGTGCTCTGCAAGTGCCTTGGGCTCAGGTGGAGCCAGGTGGGAGTCAGCTTCTGCTCCCAGGGAACAAAGGACAGGATGAGAGGAAACAGCCTCAAGTTGTGTCAGGAGAAGTTTAGATTGAATATTAGGGAAAATTTCTTCACTGAAAGGGTTGTCCAGCCATGGAACAGGCTGCCCAGGGCAGTTCTGGAGTCACGATCCCTGGAGGGATTTATAAGGCATGTGGATGTGGCATTTGAGGACATGGTTTAGTGGTGAACACAGTGGTGCTGGGTTAATAGTTGGACTCGGTGGTCTTAGAGGTCTTTTCCAACCATAAAGGACTATGAAGTCCCTCAGTGTGAGCAGCCTCAGGAGAAGCAGGAGTTTGTGTGTGGTGGGAGCAGGCCAGGAGCACGTATCAAGTGAGGTTTTCACATCAGATACCCAAAGTACAAACATGCACTGGCCAAGGGCTCAGCTTCATGTTTCAAACTCTCTGGTAAGTGCTTTTAGCTGTTGAACACTGTGCCTGGACATGTGAGACCAACTTTCTGGCAAAACTGCCCAACCATTTCTGGGCAGAGCTGGGTACCACCCTCAGCATTTCTGGTCTTGCCAACAGGAGGACACAGAGAGGTCAAAGAGGTTTTAAGGACTCGATGCACTGAAATGTTCCTGTCCTTTGCACATCACCTGGAAAAGCTCTGGTGACAGCAAACCCTCTGGTCTGTGCATTCTCCCCATGTGTGTGCTGAGCTGCAAACCCTGGAGCTGATGGAGCTTCCCACCCTCTGCTCCCAAGGAGGCAGAAAGCCTCCACTCCCTGCTCTCAGGCACCACATGCTCCTCCCCGTGGAACAAACATCCCACAGGATACCCTTCACAGGGACAATGGATCAGCTGTGGGAGCTGATCAGGCCCCATCAGGACTCGCAGCGCCGTGTCCTGCCACGTTCCACACCACAGCAGCGACTCCAAACGCAGGTGGATCCAACCCCAGCATGACCAGGCTCCCAGAGCCACATGCTACTGAGTTCTGCTAATGCTGTTGAAAGACGGGGCAGCTCCAATTTGCCCAGAGCTGCTTGGTCGTAACGTGGCACGGCGGGGACGGGCTGTTCCCGAAACCACTTCTGACAGTGAAAGCATTTTGCCGGAGCGCAGCGAGAGAAAAACAAATTACTGTGGCATAAACGAGAAAATCCATCATCGGCGGGAAGAGGAGAGAATTGGTTTAAGGATCCACGTAGGAGACTGTGACAGTAATCACACAACAGCCCTTTAAATGTCAAGGGGGGCGAGCATGGTTTAATAGCAACCGAAACGCTGCCAAGCCGGGCGACGTGTAACAAAGCAGACGGATGGATAGATCCACCTATTATCTGCTCCCTGGAGAAAGAGAAGAGGGAGATAATTCAGGTCTGTGCTTGATCTACTGTGTAAATCTCAGAGAGGTAATGTTTTCTTTCATCAAAAAGGGAAAAAAAAAAAAAAAAGAATGTTGTTTGTTTTCTCAGCGCTGTCCCTGCTGTCAGTCAGACAGCCCGGGCTCAGCTGTACAAAGGAGATACACAACGTTTACAGCTGGCCACAGCCTGGGCAGTGCTGCACCCACGAGGAACGAAATCCTGGGGGTGTGTGGCAGCCAGTCAGGCAGTTCGTGGGCCTGTGGCTTGGTTCAGCAGTGCTGCGACAAAGAGGAGAGAGAAGACAGCGTGCGAGGGGCCAGGGCAAAGAGGGGCAGCAGGCTGGACCATCTGCAGCATCGGCATGAAATGCTTTTGCCTTCCCAAGTGAAATTCGTGGAAGGGTGTGAAATGCTTTTGCTCTGCACACACGTGCCCCTGTGCTGCTCCAAGGGAATCGGTGGCTCTCCCTGTCCACAGTGGGGGGTCTGGGTGCTTCTTCTACCTCCCTGCCAGACTGGTGATAGATAATGTTTTGAGGGTCTTAGAGCCCCTCTAATTCAGTTGGAAAAGCCCATCTCTTTTGTGAGAGTGTCAGCACAGCCTGGCTGGCTCATCCGGGCCCTTCAGGGAGCCTCAGGTGACCACAACACATTTGGCTCCAGGGTCCAGCCTCAGGCTGCAGGGCTCTTCCCCCGTGCTCTGGGCACCTCCTGGCACCATTAAAGGACTCGCTGCAGTCACAGTTGGATGTGGTGATCTTGGAGGTCTTTTCCAACCTGGATGATTCTATGAATCTGAAAGAAAAAAAGAATACTGAGCAGTATCAGCTCCAACGTGAAACCAGCAACACATGAAAACCTGGGCTGTGCTGGGAGAGGAAATATCCCTTGGATTGTGAGCACTGGTCAGGGGGCAGCAGGGAAGGGCTTCATGCTCTCAAAAGCACAAGAGCAGGTTTTGCAAAGCCAGCTCCTCAGATCTGAGCCTATTTGTGTTTTCATTCATCTCTTCGCATCACAATTCTTTGTGCAAAACGGGGATCGTGACCTCTGCTTTCAGAGGGACTGGAAAGATGTTACTTAGTATTTGTAGAACATTCCAGCTGTGTATTTACAATCACCAGAAGAAAAATCACAAGGAAATGGAATAGTTTAGTATTCAGAGCAGGCTCTGAGCAGTGCAGGCACCGATTCCTGGGGAACCAGAGCGTTGAATTACCTGCTCAGCTGGCACAGTGTGGGGCTGGGCTGGTGGGACAAACCTTGTCCCTGTGTCATTCCATCCCCTTCTTCGGATGTGCCAGCACTGAGAGGCCACACTAAGGTTTAATGGGCCACCCGAAAATGAGTGTTTGCTTGTGCTGTGGTGCTTGGCTTCACCAGCTGCTCCTCCCATCCAGGTTTTGCATGATTTAGACCTGTATGTATATTTTATAAAAGGTCTGCTAAAATGTGTTATTGCAGAAATAAACCAAGCTCTGGCTCATTTTTAATGAGCCATCAGGGAGCAAGTTATTGTTGGAGAGGTTTTCTTCTGCTGGGCTTTTTATACTGAAATGTCTTGGAGGTAAATTTTTGATTAAATTTCATGAGTGAGGTACCTGTATTAGTGCTGAAAGCCTTTCGCTTAGCCAGGAGTGGGGTTGTCAGAGCCACTGAAAGAGCAGCACAACTCAACATAAACAGGTGGGCTTGAAAACCATCAATAGAAAATTAGATCTAAAATACTGATTTACTGTGTATTAACTCCCCTGTAGCTTCAGCTCCAGCAAGAGCATCCTCTGAACCTTCTGTGTGCAGAGATTTTGCTTACTGGGGACATATAATCACAGAATTATGGAACGATTTGGGTTGGAAGGGAGTTTACCCTGCCATGGGCAGAGACACCTTCCACTATCCCAGGTTGCTTTCAAGCCCCATCCAACCTGGCCTTGGACACTTCCAGGGATGGGGCAGCCACAGCTTCTCTGGGCAACCTGTGCCAGGGCCTCCCCACCCTCACTGTTAAAAGGTTCTTCCTTATATCTAGTCTGAATCTCTCCTCGTTTAGCTTAAAACTGTTCAATTGTGTCCTGTCACCGCCTGCCCCTGTAAAGAGTCACTCTCCATCTTTTTACAATTCGCCTTTAGGCACTGGAAGATGCTCTGAGGTCTCACTGGACCCTTCTCTTCTCCAGGCTGAACACCCGCAGTTCTACCAGAGCAGAGGGGCTGCATCCCTTGGAGCATCTGCAAGGCTGCATCCCTTGGCGCATCTCCGTGCCCTCCTCTGGACCAGCAGCTCCAAAACCAAACGGAGCGACACAGGTGTCTGTTCTCTGCCTCCCCCGAGCCGCTCCCGGCAGTGTTCCCCGCGTTCCCTGCCTGCCCCAGCCCCGGGCTCATTCCCGGCCGTTCCCGGGGGATCGCGAGCGGATCCCGGACCCCGTCCCGGCTGCAGTGCCGGCTCCCGCCGCGCAGGGGCGCTGTCTCTGGCGGGCCGCGCCCCCCGCGCCGCTCTGGCCCGCGGGCCCCTCTCGGTGGGTTTCCGGGCCGCGCTTCCGGCCGCGTGGCGGGCGGGGGGTACAAGGGGGTGCGGGCTTTGGGAGGCCGGGGGGGGACACAGGGGGGTATGGGGGCGCTGGGGGACGGTGGAGGGGCTGGCGAAGGTAGAGTATGGGGGGCTGGAGCGCTGGGAGGGTGCCGGGGGGACAGTGAAGGGCTGGGGGCAGTGTAGGGTTCTGGAGGGGAGGCTGGGGGAGGAAGGGTTGGCGGGCTTGGGGACGGTGTGGGGGGCTTGAGATGCTGTGGGAGGAGGGCGTGAAATAATGAGGGGCAGGATATGGGGCTGGGGGAGGCAGGTATTGGGGGGCTGGAGCGCTACGGGAGTGCAGGGGGAGCTTGGGATGCGGTGATGGGGTAGTGAAGGCTTGGGGGGCAGGGTATGGGGTACAGGAGGGCCTTCAATGGGGGATTGGGAGAGGCAGGGTTTGGGGACTGGAACACTGGAGGGGATGCAGTGTCGGGGGGTGGTGAGGTACTGGGGGCCAGGGTATGGGGCTGGGGGAGGCAGGTATTGGGGGCTGGAATGCTGGGGGGATGCAGGGGTGCGGTGCTTGGGATTCAGTGGGGAGGTGGTAAGGTACTGGGGGGCAGGGTGTGGGGTTCCGTGGAGGGGCTGGAGGAGGCAGGGTTTGGGGGGCTCGGGCAGTGCAGTGGGATTTGGGATGTAGTGTGCAGGATGGTAAGGTACTGGGGGGCAGCATATGCGGTTCTGGGGGGAGCTGCAGTGTAGGGGGGTCAGTAGGAGGGCTGGGGTTCTGTGCAAGGACAGCCCTGGGCTGTGGTTCCTCCCTGGGGGAGGTGTTGGAGCCCACAGCAGGGTGTGGGTGTGGGGCAGGAGCACAGAGTGAGGGGGCTTGAGGTGGTGGGGGAGAGCTGAGTTGGGCCCAGGGGGTGAGCTGTGCAGTGGGGAGGGGGCTGCAGGGTGTTCTCCAGGACCAACAGCCAGACTGGACTGTTGTTTTTCCTGGGAATTTCACAGAAGTTTTTCTGTCACAGGATTTCCTGCCAGGGCCTCCGAGGAGCCACAGCCCCTGATGGTGACATGGGCGGGTGTGTTGGCACTTGGTGCTGCCATTCCTGAGGGGAGGGAGGACCAGGTGAGTCGGGTGAGCCCCGTGTGTCCCTCCTGGGCAGGGGCAGGGGGTCTGTGGGCTGGGGAAGGGCTGCTGGGTGGTGGGGCCAGCAGGCCCAGCCTCGTCCCAGCCAGTCTGACCCGTGCCCGAGATCAGCTCCCAGGTGGGCTCCGTGCTGGGGCTCACCTGTGCAGTAACAGGTGTGAGCATTCATGAAGCATTTTGATGGTCATGTATGATACTGCATACAACATCTGCACCCCCTTATCCAGGGAAACACAGGATTTAGATTCTTTAGTGTATGCTGAGTCTTGTTTCGAAAATCACGTAGCAAAATCAAAGTGATACTCTCTCAGGTGTGGAAAACAGAACTTGGGTATGTTTGTTCAGACTTTTTTTTTTTTTCACCTGATTTATCACTAGATAGTATTTGAGTTCCAAAACTTTGTTCCCCACTCAGTAGGAAATAGTGATAAGGTGGTTTCTGTACTTGAGCAGATGGAAGGCTTTGTTGAAGTTGTGTACTTTGCTCTCTTGTTACATGTTTGGTTTCTCTCCTGCAGTTGGGGGGGATTCAGCTGGGGTCAGCTCAGGGGAAGGGGAGAGGAGAAGGCCTGTGCTGGGAACCTGGCACCAGAGTGATCATTGCTTTGGCAAAAATTCCTTGCCAAAAATAAAACGTGCTTTTCCTGCTTCTTGTTGCTGTCAGATGGGTGATCTGGCTCTGGTGAGCTGTTGGGAAGTGTTCATGGTAGAGATGCTACTGGGAAGGACTTGTGGAGAGCTGAGGGTGGGATAATGCTTCAGTTAACGCTGATCCAGAGGAGATGGGTCTGTGTAGGACAAAGGTCTCTGGCTGAACATCGTGGTTGTTTCTTTTCAGGTGTCTGGACCAGGAGATGGTTCTACAGATTGGTGAGAGCTGCCCTTGCAGTTTAATTTTACCTGTATGGTCTTCTAGGAGGAATGGTTTGGATTGGAAGGGACCTGAAAGATCATGTAGTTCCAACCCCCCTTCTGTGGGCAGGGACACCTTCCACTATTCCAGGTTGCTCCAAGCCCTGTCCAACCTGGCCTTGGGCACTTCCAGAGATGGGGCAGCCACAGTTGCTCTGGGCAACCTGTACCAGGGCCTCCCCACCCTCTTAGTAAGGATTTTTTTCCTATCATTCAATCTTACCCTGCCCTCTGTCAGTTTGAAGCCATTCCTGTTGTCCTGTCACTCCAGGCTCTTGTAAAAAGTCCCTCTCCAGCTTTCCTGTAGTTACAGAAAGCAGATTTACCTAACTAGACGGTAAACATAAATAAAATCCATTTCTCAAAACTGACTTTCTTCCTTTCTTCATATTTAATATTTCCTACTGTGCATGAACGAAGTAGAAGGATGCTTAGCATGCTGCAGGTGTGTGTGCAGGCAGGCACAGAGCTGCTGCTGCACTGACACCTGTAGTCACCTCAGTCCTGCTTTGGGGAGCTGTAGGGGGAATTGGATCCTGCATTGAATTCGGGAGTGCTGCAGGATTTGGGAGCATCTCCGTGTGCCAAGCTCCCACCTCCACTAGAGGGTGTGGAGCTCCGCAGAATCCTTGGCTTTCACTGCAACTGGAAAAGCAGGAGACTTTTTTTTCCTTTAATGGGATGCACAGACAGGAGGCCGTGGTGGGATTACACCCCTGCTCTGTGCCTCAGCAGCAGCCCATGCTGCTGGTGCATTATACAATTCCCAGCTGGGCTCTCCAGGTGCTCTGTGGACAAGGCCAATCCTGGACAGCCGGGAATTGCTCGTAGGCAGCGTCTGTGAGCAGGGGGAGGCAGGTTAGCCGTGGGTTTGATCAGTTAGTGCCCACCTCCAGCGTGGGTACCTGGGAGAGGCTGCTCAGAGGGATAACTTGCACATGCCAAGTTCCCTTTCCTTCCACCTGGGGACAGGTCCTAGCTCTGGGGCAGGGAGGCCACCGGGACCACCAGTGCCCTGAGCCTGCCTGTGAGATTCTCCATCCAAAGGGGTTGTTGCCAACGTGGTGATCTGGCTGAATGGGCACTGGTGTGAATTAACCCGAGGTCAAAGCTGAGCCATTTGGAGAGGGCAGTGCCAGCAGGGGAGGAAAGCAAGGCTTGTGGAGCTGTGCAGGGATGGTGTTTTCTCTGCACACTGGTCCCAGCTCATCCCTCTCCATGCCTGGCTTTTGCTGTGCCTGACAGTGTCCTGCAAGGCAGAGCAGGAAGAAAAGCCCCCCGGGGCCGTGGTGGGTGGTGCAGCAGTGGTGCTCAGCACTTGCATCCTGGTGTGCTCATCCACGGCCAAGAGTGACTGTGGGAGGTAGGTCAGGGACCGACCGTGTCCTCCAGTGCCAGATCCTGGTACAAAGCCAGCTGTGGAGCCCCAGCCAGGGTCATAACCCAGCCAAGCAAATCCTCCATCAGCTGAGCATGAAATGGATATTTATGTGTGCAGCTCAAAAATAACAAGGAAGGAGGCAGAGGTGTTTGCATGGGCGCTTGTGTTTTACCTGAACTGCAGACAGGCCAAATCCCAAGCACTGGGGCCAGGCTGGGATCCAGTCAGACCCTGTGGAAAGGAAGCAGGTACCCTGTGGGCAGGGCAGATGCCTGGGCTGCAGCAGGCAGCTGCCAAAGTAGGGCAAGTTGGTGAGCAATGGGAAGAAAACCTCTTTGTCCTTCAGAGCACGTCCCAGCGAGTGCCTTGCCGTGGCTGTGGCCTCTCCCCTCCCACTAAGCCCTCAGCCCCTGTAACCACGAGGCCACAGTGCTCCTTTACTGGGTCAGTCCTTGAAAGCTGGCCAGGAACCAGCCCCACGCTGGGAGCCCAGCCCTGCTGCGAGGCTGCCTTCTGCTCTCTCCTCCTCTGCTCCTGGTTTATGCTGAGGCTGGAAGAGCTGAGAGGTCTGTGCCCGGCTGGACCTTGAGCTGGGGCAGGAATTGGTTCACAGTGTCAGTGTGTTATGCAAAGGGTTGAACTTTGCATTGTCGGAAGAGGAAATGTCTGTACTTTAGCTCTGATCTGTGCAGGAATTGCGAGTGTGCAGAATTGGGGCTGTGGCCACTTCTGCAGGGTAAACAGCCAGAGAACTGCCTGGTTTCCACCTTTCCTCTCCCTCCATCACCTGCTGAGGTGGCTCTGACAGCTCTCTTAGAGTGTGACATCTGGGAATAGTGCTGGCAACCAGCAGTCCAGCCCAGATCCTTCCAGTCAGCATCACTCAGCTTTAGTGAAGGTTCACCTCTGCTAAGAGGCTGCTTTTATCTGCTCCCTCGGGAGCTGTTTTTAGGTCTGGCTGTAGCACTGCTTTTCCTTCAGCAGCAGATAAATTCCTGTGGTCTCTGCTGGAGGGAGAGCACAGGCTGCAGGAAGGTCACATCTGCTGTCTCACTGCCCTGACCCTGGGGAAGGACAAGGCTGAGCTGGGCACAGCCTGAGTGTCCCCTGGGCTCTCAGCTCCCACCAGAGCCAGGATTGCGTGGCAGTTCCTGTCAATCACTGTGATGACAAAAGGAGGGGGCAATCAAAGAAACCTTAAGAATATATATTTTTAAGCCATAGCTAAGAAATCTGCCATGGCTTCAAGTTGAACCTTTCAGCCAGAGGTGAGCAGGCTTAATTTGACAGCTATTCCTTAAATATTTTAAAAGCTGCCTGGAATAAACTGAATGCTTCCGAGTAGTGACCTAAATTCCACTTGCTGTAAATTTCATTAGAAAGTGGATTTGTGTGCCTGCCAGGCCGCTTTGCAGCTTCATTGATCTGCCCAAACCATGTGCTGTGCAAGTGCCTTCCTCAGCAGATTTTTAAAGAACTCACTGCTGCATGCTGCTAGCCCGGAATGTGGCTTGTTTTCTTCCTTTTTTCTCCCCTCTTCCTCTTTTTTTTTTTTCCTTCCTGGTGCAAATGCATCATCTGTTTACTAATCACGTTGCATCATTAGCTGCACGGAGTCATCCCACCGGCTGTGTGGGCACGGATATAGCAGCTGGGAAGGAAAATGTCACTCTCTTCAGCTCACTTGATGTGCTTTGCTCTCAGATCCCCATCCCACGCTGTGGAGGCCAAAGACTTTTGCAACCCTGGGAGCTGCCTGCAGCTCTCTGCTCTCCAGCAACGTCACCTGTGGTTCTGACACCCCCTCGAAGAAGCCTCCCTTCCCTTCTGCTGTCCCCAAAGCGCTGTCTATCCCTGTGCAACCACGGCTTTGGATCTTGTGGAGAGGTGTGATGGTAGCACAGATGGCAGAGACTGAGACTTACTAGGGAAAAAATGCCTGGAGAGATGTGGGAACGCCAGACCTGTGGATGCAGGAGCAACATGTATCTCCCCAAGCCTGAGCAGGGTCACTCGGGTGATGTCGAGTTCCCTTCCTGTAGCATGTTTGCAGCCCACCTGCCTGGGTTAAAGGTAGTGTGGGAGGGCTCCATGGAGCACCCTGGGGACACAGGGACTGTGCAAACCCACAGCTGCTCCCGTGCTGTCAGACACAGAGCAATTGTCTGGGTGGGATGAGTTAATGGGTGAGGAGAAAGCAATGTGTCTCTGTAGTCCTGTAGCTGGGTACTCAGCCCTGCTGGACCCATTGGGAAACCTGGGCTGTCCCTGTGCCCCTGGCACTTCTGCCGTTTGTTCTGCGTGGAGCTGGTGCTCCTGTGGGGGCCTCCAGCCTGGGGACAGGCCACGTATCAGCATGAAATCCATGCTTTTGAAGCCCCTGTCCTGCATCCTTATAAGGAGGGGGCTCTGTTGGGCTGAGTTTTGGCAAGATATTGGCAAAGCAGATTCCAAGGAACAGCAGCCTTTCTGCTGCCTCCCCTTCCCCTTTGGCTGCCAGCACAGGTGATGCGTAGTGCTGGGACCCTTGCTGTCCTCTGTGCTGGGAGAGGTGCTGCTCCACCTCTGGCCTAGGACTGTGATTTATTTTGGCAAGTTAAGCTGAAGGTCTGAACAAAGAGGCCACAGCTCAGACCAGCAGAGTGGGCTGTCTTGGGGACAGGGCCTTGCTGGCTGCCAGAACCAGACTGGAGCTAAATTAATTTCCCATAAATCTGAAATGCTCTGCTGGTTTCCCAGCCTCTCAGCATCTCTGCTGGAGTTGCCTGTTATTTATTTCCCTGAGGTCTGAGGAGATGTGCAATAAGCTTTGCCAAGGTGATGACCCGGGTCCATTTCCTTCCTGCTGCCAAAACTCTAAGCTTTTCCTTGCTCCGGCCCCTGATGGGAGGTTTCTCTCCTGGCACTAAGTGGCTTCACCTGTCCCCAAGCCTTGTCTGTCTCAGTTGCAGGAAAGACAGGGAGGAAGGAGAGCTGGAGGCAGGAGGTCTCCTGGCTCTCCCCTGTTTTGGTTTTGGGCAGTGTGGGTGGTTCAGCCACTTCGAGGGGAGGCTCTGCAAGCTCACCTTGGCAGGTGAGCAGAGGCACTGGGGACTGTGCCAGCCTGGACATGACTGGGTGCTGGGATGGCACTGGGACCTTTCCCTGCCCAGCATGGGGAGGCTGGAGCAAGTGCAGCTCCACTTGTCAGTGCCAAGGAAAGGGCTGGTCAGGGTGTAGCTGCCAGGGAAGCTGGATTTAAATATTGGGAGCATCACCAAAGCAGCTATTTCTCTCTGCAACCCATGATGGGGTTAAGTGAAAAATGAAATTTCTCTCTATCTCCTTCCTTGTGCTTTCTCATCTCCGCCAACGGAGTGAAGATGGGAGAGGATTTTTTTCCTATATTTAGCTTTGGAGAAATTGCTATAACTAATCGGCTTTAGGATTCTGGGTTCTCTCTTTTATTTTATCTTTTCCTGTCGCTAAGACCTTGTCATGTGGCTGTGGGCTGCGGCTCGCTGGCTGTCTCTGTTTGCTGGGCTTTCATGGAGTCAATTAATAACCCATAAAAATAACACCTCCAGCTGTTCCACTTGCAGCTGCCGGGCTGGAGTCTAATTACGGGGCCTTGGATCCCAAATCCTGCTTTGCATGTAAAAGTGCCAGTGAATAGGAAGAGGCAGAGGAGATGGCAATGCAAAAAAAGAATGAGGTTTGGGGTCTATTTTTAGCCTTTTCAAGCCAAATGTAAAAAGACCCTTAGGCTGCTTGTGTCCTGCTGAATCTGATCACATGCACAATATTGTTCCCATGGCACAGCGCAGCAGCCAGGGTGGGTTGGGGCTTATTTTTGGCAGTTAGCTTGCCTACATTTAAGCCTCCTTCTGGGTTAGTTTGAGCAGTGCCGTGCTGTGGTTTACATCCACGTACTAATGGCTTTTTTGCAATCACCTCTGGTTCTCTGCGTGTTGCTGAATGTGCCAGTGCTGGATGTGGCCACAGCAGTGAAGGGAAGGGAAGGCACACAGCTGCTCACTCAGTGCATCTCACAGTGGTGGTAAAGGGGTGCCCAGGCTCCTTCAAAAAGTCCTTTCCTACTGATTGAGATATAAAATTAATTTAGCTGGGGCTCTGGTGGATAGGCAGTGGTCTCTCTCTCATGTCATTCTTGTCTATTGTGCACCCTCCTCTGCTTCCCGAGCTGGATGTGATCTCTGGGTGAACCTGCTGGGTTCTGGAGCCTGGGGTCTTGCTGCTGATGGGCCGGTGCTGCCTTGACCCTCCCCACTGCCATATTCACCTGCCTCTTGCCTCCTCCTGGATGCTCAAGACTCCTCCCCTTTCTTGCTCCCCACAGAAGTGGTGTGGCAAAGGCCCAGGAGGGCTCAGGCGCACAGGGGGTCTTGGGGAGGGGGCACAAACAAAGCATTGGGCTTGTCTCCAGTCTCTGTCCAGGGAGTTGTTCTGGGGCATATCGGCCCTTTCCATCACTGGGCTCTTGTTTAATTCAGACTCAGCCTGGCTGTGACCAAAAGCAAATCAAACAGCTGTTCATTAGCTAATGTCAAATACTTAGTGGTCACACATTAGTCTGTAGCCACCAGCTGGAAACCACAACTGCAAATAGGCTTCCTGTGCCGGAGACCATCCCCCTCGTCAAACCAAGTTATTTTGAGACTGATATTGGAACCTGCCCTCAGAAAAACTCCGACACCTCCCACTTGCACTGGGGTTGCAGAACCAGTGCTTGACTCAAAAGGCAACTCCACCTCTTCCCTGTCTGCTCAGGCTCCCCCTGACAGCTACCAGAGCCAGGAGGTGTTAAACATCTCACCTCTCATCCCTAGGGAGATGGAGCCAAACTCTCAGGTTGTGTCCCTTCAGTGGAGCTCTGCTACCAGTTCACTTACCCAGGGACAGAGCATGCTATCAATCTGTTCAGCCTTGCCTAGCAAAGAGATTGCAAACGTGGCTTTCCGTCACGCGGTACATTAGCCAAATTAATTCCAGGACAGACAGCCAGTGGTGCTCGAGGCCGAGGCAGATTAATGCTGCAGCCGTGTCAAAATCAGCAGAGCTGCTGCCTGCAACGTGCCAGCTCCCTGGACGCAGCCAGCCTTCTGCTCAGCCATGCCCTCCGCCTCACACCTCTCCGGAGCGCTGAACCCGCTGGAATCAGTGACACAGACGATTCAATTGGAAGGAACATCTGTCTCTGAGCTGAGCTCCCATTCAGGCCACCGCCGCCGCCGCGAGTGGGTGACATTTTTCATGCGTCTTGCTTGCTTTCTTTAATCCCCCAAACACAGGCTCGCCTGTGGAGGCACAAGGAATGTTCCTCCCCCATGAGAAGGGAAAAGAAATTAGCCAGCAGATTGAGCGTGTATAGCAAATAATGAGATTGCCTTGGATACAGGACCGGAATTCATGCAAAGAATGATGCTGATCGGAGAAGATAAGCAGCATTTTTAGGGGCTGCAAACAGCATCATGAAACTCGTGTTTGTCGAGTTCTAAAACATGCTTGGATGAAAGCTGCCAGCACAGGCCTGATCCACAGACAGTGTGATTTCAAAAATAAACCCTGAAATAGCTATACTGGTAGTAATTTAGGTGTGCAAGTGCCTCATAATGCCTCATTTTCCTCCAGGCACAGGAATAAGCTGAACAGATACAGGCACTGTGATGCTGGCGGAGCAGCAGCCACAAAGGAGGCTTGTCCTGATGGAGCCCCACTGAAAGGTGCTGTGTTTGCCCACAGGGTGCAGAGCCAGCACTGGTGGAGTCAGTGTGTCCTTTAAAAAGAGCTGGATTTGTGCAATACTTTTAATAATAAGTAGTTATTTCTTATTATTCCTCTAGTATTAAAAAAAAAAAAATAGTAATTATCAACATGTTAGAGGCAAACAGGGACAAAGTCTCTACCTGGAGAGTGACCCAACAGCTTGACTCAGTGCTTGTTGAAGTAGCTGAGAGTATTTGTACTGTCAGACTCATGAAAAGGAGGGATGGTAAACAGCCTTTGTTTTTATTTTTATAGGAAATTTACTCATCGTTGCATTTGCTGAGCCTCTTGGCTGAGACTGCTGTTTTTCTAAGGATTGACTGATCAGATCCTGGCAGTCCTTTAAGTCACTTGAAGGGACAACTGGAAACAGGCTCTTCCCTGTGAGGTAGGTACCAGGAAGCTCCCAGGCAGTGGCACATAGACACAGGGCTGTGTCCAAAGGCAATTAGAAAAGCTGGGCGTTCCCAACAGGCCAATGAACCCTTCCTTGCTCACAACTCCAGCTCCCTGTATTATGAGCTTGGCATCTTCAACAACGATAAAATTCCCCAGCAAATAAGTTATCATCCAAGTGTTTTTCCCTTTAGACTGGAAAAAAGGTCATTGGGGGGGGAGGGGAATTCCATTTGGTATTTTGCCCCCCCAAAGTCTGAGGGATAAAATAATCATGTGGAAGCCCCAAGGGGTGTCTCCCCCTCCTCGCGCTCCCCTGAGAAGACGGTGCCATCAGCCTTTTAGGTGTTACAAATATCCAACACGGGATTGGAATGTGTGTTGGAATATCTGCTCCAGCTCCTCATGCTTTAATTATTTCTGTACGAGCAGCCCCCCCTGCACCACCTGCTCACTTTTGTTTTAGCACCGCACGGCTCATGAGCAGCGACACTGAACTCCAGGCAGGGAGCCTTGGATGGTTACAGGCTTTGCAGGGAGAGCGTGTGGCTAAGGGCTGGGATGTGTGCCACACGCTCATCCTGATTCATCTATTTCATGAATCAGGACTTGGGGCCTATTTGCTAACGTCTGTCTGCGTAACCTTTGCTATGTCAACGGTGCCTGTGCTCTGATGTCAGCTGCTGGACTCCGAGCGCTGGCAGCTGGTGTCCCTGGCCAGCTCCCAGCCTACAATTCAATTTTCCTACCAGTCACTTGAGAAGAGAGGAAAAAACATGTTTCTGGCTGTTTGTGGCATCAAAACATAAAGGGCTTCAGTTTACAAGGTCATTTAAGGCTTTTCTACAGCGGGACACATGGGAAAGTACAGATAAATCGAACAGTGGTATAAAGTTAATACATCTTCACTTATGGGGCACTGAACTACAGCAAACTAAGGCTGGTTTAATTCTGAATAAAAATCTCAGCACAAGAGTTTAACACCTTCTAGGTATCGTACATTAACATCCCCTCTCTGAACAGAGGCCAGTCTGGAGATATTTTTACCCTTTTCCCAATCTTGCGAATAGTGGAAAATTACCACAGAGCTAAAAGGCAGGAGTGTTTGGGAATAAGGGAATAAGTGTTTGGGAATGAAGAGAAGAGCTCTGGTCTCCTTTCTTATACTGACTTGCTGCATGACTTTTTCTACAGCATTTTGTGAGCCTCAATATTTATTCCTGCATATTGGGATTATTAATGTCTTCCCTGCCATTACAAAGGCCTTTAAGATCTTCAGAGGAATTCCTCCTCCTGTGTATCGTTTTCCCAGTATGGGCTGTCCAGAGAGCGTTCAAAAATATGTAAAGCTGTCACAGATGAGCACAGTCAGGTCTGTGTCTAGAGGGCTGAACTTGGGTGTCACAGTCAGTTTTAAGAGTAAAGGAGTGAAGGAATTCACACCTCCTCCCATCCCGCACCACCAGGTTCTGTCTCCCTAGACTGACAAGGGAAAGAAAAAATGGTGACACCTAGTGAAGTACCCGTGATGCATTAAATAATAAGTCTGTGAAAACCAGAATCAATGTCCCCAGGGCACAACTCTGTCCCATTAGCTGTTTGTCAGTCATCATGCTTATTTTAGCTGGGAATGGTATAATTTGGGACCTTTTTCATGGTTTTAAAGGTTCAGGAAGGAGGTATTTATTTCAATGTAGCCAGTGGTACATAAAAAATTCCACCGACTCAGATGGGATTGATTTGTTAGGGAATGGCTCTTGAAGCCTTCAGTTTGCCTGAGCTCAAACTCTCATCCCTTTTCCACATATTTTAATAAACATATGGCATAGCAGCAAGATCTTGAATGAACACGTTCTCTCTTGTCAAGAAGTGCTGACAATCTCTTTTCTTTACTACAACAGCTCTGAAGATCAGACCTGCTGGACAGTAAGAAGTCAGATTTGCTTCACTTTTCTTCACTCCCTGGGACACAAACAAAAGAAACTAGAGCAAGTTCCTGCCTGCTGAAATTCCAGGGGCTTGAACTACATTCCAGCACAACCAAGAGGCATTTTGAATCTTTTCTTGGTATACGTCAGCCCTGCACTGCTCCCAGGCAACTGCAGTTTAAGTTAGATATTATTAATTTCAAAGGTTTGACTACCAATAGTTCTCATTAATTTCCATGGCAACATCGCCTGAAACAAGATAACAATTGCTTGGGGTTGTATAACCAAAGTTCCTAACGTGAAGGAATGCAAACCAGGAAAAGTGCTCAGATGGAGGGAACTGACTGACCTTGCATAACCTCCCTAGGGCCAAACTTCCCTTCCTATCTAGCAATCTGCATTCCTAGTTTGCTGAAAATATTGAACAGTTTGCACTTTCAGTCTGTGTCCTCTGGGCTTCAGTCTCCCGCATGCCTCACAGCTTTCCTGAAACATTTCACCCACACGTTTATTCCTTTATATTCCTGCTAATGACACATGGCTAGAGCTTTCGTATGAGATGTAACAGGGATATAAATGATAATAGAAAATTTTAAAACCACATTACTTTTCTTTGTCTATCTTGCTAAGATTATTGTTTCTGCAGAAAACAGCTGAGACACTTACCATGATTGATTTAGACATTAAATTACGGACTTATGTGCTTTCACTCTATCAATAAACACCAAATATCTTTAAAAGTCCAAATAAAGTTTTTCTGGTTACATGGCCATTTGGTTAAGGAGAATAGTGGCAGTCAGTAAGAACTAAAACGTTTCCCAGAATCTAAAGAGAGAAGTGTTATGAACAAAGAGGAATCTGAGTGGGCGTAAATTCCTCGCCCTGCTATGCCAGTAGGATTATATCTCAGGCTTTCAGAGCAGGAAAAGGATGTTATAGGCATAATGGCAGGGAATATCAATCAGATAACTACAGCTAATTACAGCGTTACTAGATTAACTAGTTAAGTTCAGCTACATGAAGGCAACTGGCCAAGTGCCACAACAGAAACAGAATTCAGAGGAACAATTTCTCAACACATTAAACAAGTTTTTGTAAGGACTAGTTTCAGATCAGGCAATAGACTGTGCTTGGCTAACTTTAAAAGACACAAGGTTTGTGTAAGAAAGAGCAGTAGCTGAAACCCTTGTTAATAGTAATTAAAAATTCAGCTTTCCTAAAGAAAGAATTGCACCTAAAGGCCAGGATAATGACTCTGAATTTTAGTAGATTTATTTTCAGAGGGAGTGAGCCATTAGTAAAAGATGTTTTGGGTAAACAAAACACATTGATACTGCTGTTGAAGGGAGCAGAGGCACGGGCCCCTAACTTTGAAGTCCTTATTTTAACACAGTTTATGATACTCTGGTACTGTACAAAACATTACTATGTGTACCACGTCCTGCTCCCTGTGTCCTCCTGCACTCAGGGTGTGTGCGTGGCTGTGTGTGTGAGGAGGTGTGAGAGGTCCTCTGTTGAGACCCCACCTGCAGAGCTGCCTCCAGCTCTGGGGTCCCAGCATGGGAAGGACATGGAGCTGTTGGAGCGAGTCCTGAAGAGGCACCAAGATGATCAGAGGGATGGAGCAGCTTTGCTGTGAGGAAAAGCTGGGAGAGTTGGGATTGTTCAGCCTAGAGAAGAGAAGGCTTCGGGGTGACCTAATCGCAGCCTTCTAGTATAGAATCATAGAATCACAGAATACGCTGAGTTGGAAGGGACCCATCAGGATCATCGAGTCCATCTCCTGGCCCCGCACAGGGACACCCCAACAACCCCACCATGTGCCTGAGAGCATTGTCCAGAAGCTTCTTGAACTGAGACAGGCTTGGTGCTGTGACCAGTGCCCCGGGGACCCTGTTCCAGTGCTCAACGACCGTCTAGGTGAGAAACCTGTTCCTGATATCTAACCTAAACCTCCCCTGACAGCTTCACGCTGTACCTGAAGGGAGCCCACAAGAAACATGGAAGGAGACTATTTACCAGGGCACGTAGTGACAGGACAAGGGGGAATGGCTTCACACTGACAGAGAGCGGGGTTAGATTGGATATTGGGAAGCTTTTCCCTGTGAGGGTGCCGAGCCAGGCTGGGAGAGCTGGGGGTGTTCAGCCTGGGGAAGGGAAGGCTCCGCGGAGACCTCAGAGCCTCTCCCAGCGCCTAAAGGCATCTCGTAAAAAGATGGAGAGTGACTTTTTACAAGGGCAGACAGCGACAGGGCAAAACGGAACTGTGTTAAGCCGAAAGAGGAGAGATTTAGGTTATTTCCGAGGAAGAAATTTTTAACAATGAGTGTGGTGAGGCAGTGGCTGGGCGATCCCCGGAAGCGCTCAAGGCCAGGCTGGAGGGGGCATGGAGCCCCGGTTTAGCGGAAGGCGTCCCTGCCCGTGGCAGGGGGTGGAACAGGGTGAGTTTTAAACCCCTTTCACCACCAGAGCACCATACGATCCCATGGCCGGCTGTCCCCTCACGCTCTCGGGGCAGCGCCGCGCATGCGCGCCGCCACTCCCGCCCCAGCCCCCCCGCCTCCCGGCAGCGCGCAGGCGCGCGGGCCGCCCCCGCCCGGCACCGCGAACGACGGGCGGCGGATCCCGCGCCCCCCCCGGCGCTCCCGCCCCGGCGGCATGAGGGGACAGCGCGGCCGGACCGAGCGAGCGGTAAGCGCGGCGCGGAGCCTGCCCAGCGTGCGCCCTGCCCTGCCCTGCCCTCCCCTCAGCCCCGCCGCCGCCGTGCCCCCGCGGCAAGTTTCCCATTGTCCGCCCCGCTGCCTGCCGGCTCCTCTCAGCGCTGCCCGCGGCGAGCCCCCGGGAGCGGCCGGCGCTGCCCGTGGCGGGTGGTGGTGGTGGTGGTGGTGGTGGCGATAGTGATGGTGGTGATGCTGGTGATGGTGGTGGTGGGGCGGGGGGTGGCGGTCCTCGGGCGGGTCACGGCGGCGCCGCCGCGGCTGCTGCGCTCCCGGGCCCTGGACGGATCCCCCCGGGACAGCTCGGGGATGTCACAGGTGTCCCCCCATCCCGTCCTGTCCCCTCCCGGAGTGTCCTGGATCCCGCAGGGGCTGTCACAGGTGCTCCCCCCCCCCAGTCCCTTCTTGTCCCCTCTCGGGGTGTCCCGCAGCCCGCGGGGCATGTCACTGGTGTCCCCCCTCATCCTTTCCTGTCCCCTCCCGGCGTGTCCCGCATCCGCCGCATCCCTCGGGGACGACGCGGGGCTGTCACAGGTGTCCCTCTCATCCCTTCCTGTCCCTTCCCAGGGTGTTCCGCATTCTCTGGGACACCGCGGGGCTGTCACAGGTGTCCCTCCCCCTCCCTTCCCATCCCCTCGCGGCGTGTCCCGCATCTCTCCTATCCCCCTGGAGCAGCGCGGGGCGGTCACAGGTGTCCCCCCATCCCTTCCCGGGGTGTTCCGCATCCCCCGGGACACCGCGGGGCTGTCACAGGTGTCCCCCCATCGCTTCCCGGCGTGTCCCGCATCCCTCCGGAGCAACGCGGGGCTGTCGCAGATGTCCCCTCCATCCCGTCCCGGAGTGTCCCGTATCCCCCCGGGACACCGCGGCTCTGTCAGAGGTGTCCCCCCATCCCTTGGCGGGGTGTCCCGGCTGCGCCGCGGCGGGAGGAAACGCGGAGTTTCTTTGTTGTGTAACTCTTTTTTTTGTACGAGGATTAACAGAGGGCTTGCGGCTGTTTGTGCTGATCCAGGTGGTTTTTTTTTGTAAAATGCAGGGTGGTCACGGGTAAATTGCGCTCTGGAATGGGATGTCGGAGAACTTTCCCGCGGCTCCGGGGGTTGTTTGTTGGCTCCTGCCGTGTCCCAGGAGCCGCCGAGCCCCGCTCCGGGGCCGGTGTCGCTCCCGCGGCGCTGCAGGAACGTGAGAGCGCGTTAAGGACAGAAAAGCAAAGCGAACTTACTCTAACAAACCCATTTCTCTCCAAAATGACGCTGGCTCGCAGCCCGCGGCTCATCTGCGAGTGCTGCTGCCAGGATTTTTCAATAAACGTAATTGCAGTCGAGAGAGTTCGGGTCAAGCCGGGGAAAGCACACACGAAGCCTTTGGAATAACTCCTCGCTGTGTTGCCAGTGACATTTTTTCTGGCCGTATAGTGGAATTTTTGCAGTTTCGTCCAATTCGGTTTTTTTCCCCATCTCTCTCTTAAGTTTCTCTCCCAGAAGTTTTAATTAATTGTTTTTGGCGATTATGAAGGAATGCTTTGTATCGCTGTGCTGCAGTGATCCGTTTTTTTCTCTCTTTCTGAAAACAAGAATTTTTACCATTTATTTCTTAACCTCTTTTTGTGTTTTCTGTACTTACTTATTTATTTTTTTTTTAAAACCCAGTCCCAGTTCGGCATGAGCTCTGAGCAGGGCAGCCCACATGCAGCGCTGGGGGACTGGGAAATGCTTCTGTGCCTGTCGCTGGGATGTGTCAGTGTTTGGTTCTCAGCAGCACAGGAAGTCTCACCATCCTGACAAAGAGTCATAAACCATGTTAAAGATTCGTTACTAAAAGTGGCCTGAAAATGTGCTAATTTTATGTCGTGCTTGGAAGAAATGATAAGTCATTTCTGACAAATATATATATATAGCTTTTCAAGGCCCCCTTGGGTCTTAAAAAAAGTCGTCAAGGAATTGTGAAGGGTTTCCTGTGGAACTGCTCGCGGGGTACCACGCACGGGGTAATTGTATGAGGAAATTGAAAATGGCTTCCTACGTTTGACAGATGGTTTTAAAAATTTCTTTTTCAGGTTTGAGTTGGTCTCACTAACTGCAGCGATGGTGCAGAAGTACCAGTCCCCCGTACGGGTGTACAAACACCCTTTTGAGTTAATTATGGCTGTAAGTATTAATTTTTGCTGTAATTTTCTTCTTGACAGTCCCTTCTGTTGCTGAGTACTTACTGGGCTCCGTTTTGGAGATGCTGTAGAACATACAAAGCAGGAGCAGTATGCCAAATATGAGATGTATGTGTTTTGATGGCTGCTTCTCTGCCCAGAGTGGTTTTTTTAGATAATGTTCTCTGATTTTCCTGAATTTTAGATATAACTTACAAATGAAACTTGCAGATGATAATTTACAGATGTATTTGAAAGTTAGAGCAAAAGTAGGCTCAAAGTATGCTGCCCAGTTGAGTACTGGGAGCAAACTCTTCTAGAATGGGAGAAAGTGTCATGTACATTGATTAAAAGATTGTTGTGGTTGTGTCTTCATCAGGGTAGAGTTTACAGGGCTCAAGAGCACAAAGAAAGCCATGAAAGCAAGGATAAGCCTGAGTGAAAAAAGAGAAAGGACACCAGTGATACTTTCAGGGAAGGAAAGAAAAAAGCTTCTAGGGAGGTCAGAGAGATGAACAAAAAGCCTTTTGGCTGCATAGTTGCTAATTTGTGTGATAATGTTACACTAGTGATTTAAAATAAAAAAAGAAATCCTAATTAGGTTCCTTCTTCTTTCTCCCTCTCCCCTTCTCCCTCCCTCTTTTTAAAAAAAAAAAAAAAAAACAAAACCCAGAAAGGAAGTAGGTATTTGACATTTTAAAGTCTGTTCAGCTGTGGGGCTCTCATTAGTTACAAAGAGCAGTTAAGGAGCTTGTCCCTGATAAAAACAGTTAAAACTAATCATAACCTGAATAATAATTGTTTTATTTCACTTGCTGAAAATACTACGTCTGATGGCCTCAGAGGAGAGTTTTAAAAGTGCTCCTAGTGTAAATATTTGGATAGATCACATGGTTTGGAGTGCAGAGTTCCTTGCAGAAGTGATCCTTTGCAGTCTCAGGGCACAAAAAAAGGATTAGGTCACTCTACAGGGAATACTTCCATTTCTTTTTATCTCATTCCTGAAGCTGCCTCCAGTATTACACATGTAGGTCTTGCTCTTGCAAACACTTCAAGGCAGAGAGTGGTTATTTCCCTGAGCACAGAAGAATCAGACTGTGATGTGTTTAAGGTCTTTTAGGACCTTATTACGCTGACAGCTGGGCTTCGGGTGGTTTCTAATTTAAATTTGATGGTGTATGTAACTTCAGCCTTCAGTGGAGTTCTACTGGCTCTTATATCAATCAGCCAAAATGAGTTTCTTGGACGAAATTCTCTGGCTGTTTGCTGGACTGATAAATCTTCACCTCGCTGTCGAATTGAAGGCAAAAAATTCTTCCCTTGAGTTATTTCTTCAAAGATATTTTAAGTCAAAGTGCTGATATCGGGATTTTTCCCAACTCTTTATTGGGTGTAATTAGAAACACTTCTGACTATTAATATGAACTGTGAGTTCTCAAACTGTTCTGTGTCTTGGGGGTAATATTTGAAGAATAATCTTTACCAAATATTAGGTCTTCCTTACTTTAAGGCTTTTCTTTGGAGAGAAAGAGGCTGTGCTACATATGCAATTAGGATAAGACAGTAGTTGAAAAATTAAAAGTGAACTAAGAGGAGAAGAATGTTTATAAAAAGAAACAGCTGAACAAGATCCTTTCTGGGACTGGATGAGCGATAACACACATGATTTATTTAGTCTGTGTCAGGGCAGTGAGTTATCACTTGAACTTGTTCAGAATGTGAGCACTGGATGAACATCCTCCTCCTGCCATGTCGCTTCTGATTCTTAAAACTTGTAAAATTCCTGGAGGTGATCCATCGAAACTATCCATGCATTTTGTGAAGGGTGTAGAGGAGTGCCTCCATGAGCCAAATTCTGTAAGGAGTATAAACAGTATATGGTAGCTTGATGCTTTGTTACTGTTTTGTTACTGTCTTCCCTAGGTGGAATAGCGATTGCATAAGTTGGTGAAGTATTTCTGGAAGGAATATTCGTGTCAAATTTTGTGCTCACTAAAGTGGAAGCACTACATTGCATATTCTCAACAAAGAAGTGCTATAATGTTGTTTTAACAGTGCCACCAGCTCTTCTGAAAGGAGGTGCGTGGCCTGGCATATACCAAACTTGAATTTAAAGCACCCAGCAATGACTTAACAACATGTTTTATTTGATTCTTCTCTTCCCCTCTCTTTTATTTGCACCCAGCCTTTGAGAGAAGAATGTGTCCTCAAATAGAGGTTTAAACCCACACACCAGAGATACTCACCTGTCACCAGTAAAAAGCCCTTTGGAGAAACCTTTGTTTGGTGAATGTGGCAGCAGGGTTTTGTGTGCTGAGTTATCTAACAAAAATCACTGTTTCTAGCCTGGGTCTTGTTGTGTGGGATCTCATCTTCGTCTTAAGGTGCTGAGTACTTTTAAAAATGTTATTTGGCAAGTTGTCCTCCTTTTCCTGGGTTTTCTGTGGAACTGAAGAAGTAATTCACTCTGTAGAGTGGTAATGAAGTTCACCAGTGTCAGTGAAGTGATGTGAACTTCACTGTAAAGATTTCCTGGAGGATACGTGTTCCAGTTACAAAGTGGAACTCATTAAGTGAAACTTAATATTTAACCTTCAGATAGAGAAATCAGCATTAAATTCTTCTTTTCTGCCAGCAACCAAGTGAATGCCACTTGCAGAGTGGGTCATTTAGACTACAAAATTCCTATTTGCCCACTTTTCCTTTCCTGGGTTTTCAAGAGGTACTTGAGGGAGAATGGAGCACAATCAGCATTCCATTCATGCAGCTCTAGTGTGTTTTGAGAGAACTTTGTTCTCTCTGTGAAGTGTGAGTGCAGCTCTATATTAAGACAAAAAACTGAATTTAATTCCACTTTGATCTAAGCCAAGATTGACAAGACAAGTGCTTTGCAGACAATTATGACATAAAGACTTTTAAAATAGACACAGTCAAAATTCTTTTCCTAAGTCCAATTGATGTTGAAAATAAGTTCCTCTGTTAATGCTCCTCCACTGAAATCCAGAGCTCATCTGTTGAACCCTAATATAGCTCTATGGCAATGTCCTTCAAGGCACAACTCCTTCTCTCCCAGGTCTGGGAGGGCATTGGGGAGGTTCTGTGGTTGGTAGAGGTCAGGACATCTATTGCTGAAAGCTGCTTGCCTGCTTCATCATTAAGGGCCAGCTGTGTAAAATCTAGTATGAGCTACTTCCCGTGGAGATTTCCTTTTACTGGCAAATTGTATGGTTCTAGATAATATCTAAGATGCAAATCTCGTAGGGAAACTGTGTTCTGAACTTGAAAAGACTGTAGAATCACAGGCCAGAAATTACCGTGTTTTAGTCTGACACACCTAACACAGGCACGGTGATTTCACCAAACGTTTTCCAAAGCTGACCTGATGATTTTTGGCTGTTCTGTGGCGTATCTGTCATAATTAGCTTCTTGAAATCTCTGTGTGTTAGTGTGCATCTATATGTTTTTAAAAAGCACCCAGACCAACAGCTTGCACAGCTGTTCATCAGACTGAATAGAATCTCGCCTGGCTTTTCCTCCTGTTCCTGCTGGAGTTTACGTAATGCTGGAAGCAGCTGAAATGTGGAAAAATGGCTGTTTACTTAGACTCACTTGTCAAGTTACCAAGGTTAAATATACTGGAGAAAAACTGAGAAGCTGCTTTTATAAAACTTCTAAAGATTACAGATTCAATTTTTTTTATATTAGCTTAAAGAGATTTATATTTAAAGTAATACAGGGACTTTGCTGAATAAGTAGTTCTTAATATTAAAAGGCAGTTAAGAACTTGAATCTTCCTTACCACACGAGGCTAAAATTAACTTTGGAGATTCGCAGCTCATTTTCAGTCTGACATACTTTAGATAATTCCCCTTGAGTTTAATTTCCAAAGTAAATTTAAATAATGAATAATCAGCTGCAATGGCATTCCAAGGGTGGAATGCAAATGGAAAATAAATAAGATTTTGGAAAAAACACACATTGAATTGAACCATTGACCAGAGGGATTTTTTTTTCAGTTTCTGGAAGCTCTGTGAAAAATTTATTGCTCTTCAGCCCATTTAGAAAAAGACCTATATACAGCCACAAATTACTTAGTTTCAGAAATAAATGTGAATAAAAAAAATCCATCTCAACATTTTTCCTTTGTTCTGATGGAATATCTAAAGTATCTCAAGCATGAATCTTTCCTACTAAGTATAATGTGTAGTGCCTTTCATTATATTATCATTTTAATGGTTCAGATTTGCTGCTTTTGGACAGCAGGCTGCCTAGCTTTCTTTGTTTTTATAGATCTGAAAAAGCAGTTTTTAAGGTCTAGCTCATGAATTAAAGTATCCCTAAATTACAGGTGAGTAATAAGATTGTAGATGGGATAAATACACTTCAGCAATAGAGTAGATTAGAAAAAAAATTATCTATTTTTTCAGATTGACAAATCAAAGTGTAATCCCTTGATCTAGATTGTAATGAGCTTCCTGATCAGGCAGTACATTATATTGTCATTATAAAAGTTATTACTTTAAAAAGTAATTTAAACACCCCCCCCAAACTGCATCAGGTGCCACACCTGCACATAGATCCTTGCAATTTTTATTCCCTCCAGTCTCATTTTCTTTTTCCTGGAAAAAAACGCATTCCACACATCATGTGAAGAGGGGCTGAGAGGCTGGTGAGAAAACGGAAGCTCTTCTCCAAGTGCTTTTGAAAGCACAAAGAAGGCTTTAAATGTATGGAGAAGGATACATAGGATTTGTCTGGGGTGCTTAAACCCCAGGGAAGGGAACAGCCTGAGCGTCCACTCCCAAAACTGCTCGGCTGTTTTCCCTTCTGGTCTAGAACTCCCAGACTCTCCTCCACTTTGCTTCCTGCCTTTGTTGAAAACTCGGGTTTGTTTGCTGTTGGAAATGTGTTGGTAGAACCGCAGTGGAGCAGAGCCTCGTGTGGAATTTCTGGTTTTATACGAAGCGCCTGCAGTTTCGCTGCTGGTTTGTGTCGTTGGTGCTC